CTGATTCCAGTGTCGTGAGTTGCTTGTCAATCTAGGTAGGTTTAACACGCTACCACAGCTGCTGAAGCGTCGATGAACTCCATGGTCGTCACCAAAGGTAGGTTCAACACGCTACCACAGCTGCCGAAGACACGCTGAGTCCACGCCGACTCGCCAGTCCCAGACCATAGGACAACAATATCCAATTCGCACCAAAACAATCTCATCACCTGTCGTAAGCTCATAACACAAAATATTAAAACACATAAAAATCATTAAACAGGAAATATTACTCAAAGGGTTAGTTACGGATTATCTCACATGACACTAACCAAACATCGTTAAACAGAGATTAAATTACCAGACAGAATGAATAAAATGCTTAGTTACTTCACACGAAAATAGCTAAAGTTGGAGGCCATTCCAACGAAGCAAACAAACTCCACTTTTAGTAAAGCAACTAAGGCCGAAACAAGTTATCCACTTCTGGTTTACATCAATCTCAAAGGCTTTATGGCAAACCCGTTGTTAAAACCATAAAACATCGTAACACACAGGCCTAAGGCCAATACTACCAACACGCCATGCGTGCCGATCGGGACGTGCTAAACTAGCACAACTAATCATAGTAGCCACTGACTACTACTAATAAATTCGTATGATGAGATTAAATTGTTTTGGGCTTACTAAAATGGATTAAAAATACACTGGCCTCGTAATATTTATTCGTTACGTTATGGGTTTAACACACCATCATAATCAAGTCGACTTTGCCTAAGTCCATTGGTTTGTCCATTGGATTATAAAACGCTGGAAAATGAATATCAACAGTTAAAGAATACAAAATTTGATTGTATTCATTGTTTTCCTTCTCTACAAAATGGTGCAGCGAGTCAGTGGAAAACGGTTGGTGAACATGTTGTGGCTCAAAACAATAATCAAGAGATTAGTTTTGAAAGTAAAAACCCTTTTGCTGTCCTACAAAACAGTAATGAAGAAAATACTGACACTAATCAATCAAGCAATTTTTGTAGGCCAAAAGATAAAACAAATTGTCAACAACAAAAAAGCAGTGAAAATAAAGCACGAACGAATAAGTCAAAACTCATCATTTTGGCAGACAGCCACGGAAGAAACTTAGGCCACCTCATTGAACAAAGAACTAATTTCAATGTTTGCTCTTTTGTGAAACCAAACGCTACGTTCAGTAATGTGGTTGAATGTGCTAGAGAGAGGATCAGTGGCTTTGGAAAGGAGGATTATCTTTTGGTCATTGGAGGCACTAATGACGTGGAATTCCATAACCCTGAGCTTCTAAATAAAGTGAAAAATGTCATTGAGATATCTAATCATACAAATTTAATGATTGCTTCCCTGCCATGGAGACATGACAAACCAGAACTGGATGTTAAAATTGGAAAAATTAATAAAGATTTGGAGGACATTGTGGCTTTGCACTCAAATGTTTCCCTACTGCCCCTTCATCTTTTACCCCGACACCTATTTGCATCTCATGGACTGCACTTCAGCAACAGGGGTAAAATCAAGCTGGCTGAAAAGTTTAAAAAAATAGTTAGAGCCAACGAAGCAGCAGAAGAGAAGTCTACTCTGAATTTTGACAACAAGAAAATTAATATTGTTGAAACAAACATGAGAATCATGATAGACAAAATGAGAGATGACCGGTCAGTGGGTTTTGCCCACACCATTTCTAGGGATTTTGCAGATCCCAAACATATGTCTGCTGGAGTTGCTGTTATCTTCAGAAATAAATTTGGAAGACCTCAGTCAAATGACTACATTTCTGACAGATTGACTAAACAATGTGATAATGGAGCAACAATCTTCAGTCTGGTGACAAAGGAAGTATACTGGGGGAAAACCATCGAGGCTGGAGTATGACAATGCATTTAAACAGCTGACGGAACAATTCAAATCAAGTGGACTTAAGACTCTTGTGTGTTCACCGATGGGTTGCGTAAGAGACCTAATCCAACCAGACCATTTCGCCCATTAGTGAGGTTTCATGGGCTTTGGATGGGTCACAGAGCACAATGGGAGTGTTTTGTGACCTATCCAAGGCATTTGACTGTGTCAACCATGATATACTTTTAAAAAAGCTAAAAATTTATAACTTTTCAAAAGAATCTGTTTTATGGTTGGCTTCATTCTTGACAAATCGATTTCAAAGAACAGTAATTTGTAAATATAATGAAAAATCAATATCAGAATGGGAAAAAATTACAGTTGGTGTTCCCCAAGGGTCAATTCTCGGACCTTTACTCTTTATTTTATATATAAATGACTTGCCTAAAAATGTTTCCAACAACCTTGTTTTATATGCCGACGATACAACTGCAGTTGTCAAATCTAAAAATGATTCAGAACTATCTCTCAAAGTTAAACAAGCCCTATCGGAATTGGAACGGTGGTTCAATATTAACGGTTTAAAAATGAATCAAGATAAAACCCAATCGGTAAAGTTTTGTACTGCTCAGGCAAGAGAGTTTAGTGACCAAAATTTATGTGTTCAAGATGATGCAAAATTTCTCGGATTGTACGTAGACTCAAATTTAAATTGGAACAAAAGCATTGAAAATTTGATTAGTAGACTGAATTCGGCATGTTATCAAATGATATGTTTAAGAAACACAATTGACTTAAAAACTCGTTTGATGTTATATTATGCATACTTTTATTCAATTCTTCAGTATGGAATTGAATTCTGAGGCTTTGCATCAAACATTGATTTAATTTTTAAGATACAGAAAAGGTTTTTAAGAATAATGATATTTGCACCTTGGAGAACATCATGTAAACCTATTTTTAAAGAATTAGGGATAATGACTGTTCCGAGTTTAACAACTTTTAAAACACTTTTGATGGTGGAGGGAAATTTTGAAAAATTATGTAGTGAGAATGTCAAGCATAAGTACGATACTAGGTTTAAATATAATTTTCAATATCCGCGGCACCGTCTTTCATTAGTAGAAAAAACTCCGACATACATGGGCAAAAAATTGTTTAATAAATTGTCTCAAGAGCTCAAAAACAGAATACAGTCTAAGCATTTCAAGAGCAGCCTTACTAATTTTCTTTTAAGGAAAACATATTATAGTATAGATGAGTTTTTATGTGATCAAGATGTGTAATTATTTGGTATTTTAAATGCAATGTTTAAGTTTATCTATTTTGTCTACAACAATTATTTCTATTTTCATAGTGTTAGTTTATTTTATTCTTTTATAACTCCTTAGTTTTAAGGTATTTGTATACTGTGTTGACAATGTCACCTGTTTTATAGCATTGCTATATTTTGTAAACATTATGTGACAATAAAGATTTATTTATTTATTTAACAACGAGTGAAAATATAAAATCTAGTAAAACTGATTTTAAAAACTAGTATTTTACACCCTGGCAATAATTAACTCGGTTTACCTTATATCTAATGAAATATAAGACTTACAATTTGTATTGAAGTGTCACACGAGTTAACTATGCTTCACCAATAAACTATTATGACGATCTCGGTACTCTACTTTAGTACGTAAGAGCTCTCGAGTGTTCGTTGTCGTGGCTGGTGAGGAACTAACTTTCTTGCTTGCCGTCTGAGGGTTCCTCGGTTCATCCCTCTCGCTCCCCTCTCTAGCAAAGTAGGAGGCTCAGCTGATCAGGAACGTCTGCTGTTTCTTAACCCGAAAAAAAGCTAGCCGGCCGCCGTCGTCTGCAGCCGCTAAATCGTCAGTCGCTCGAGCTTTTTGTTGATGTTGACTGTAGGTTATGTTGTGTTTGTTTCACACGAAAATGAGTTTTAACTTCAAGATGTCGGTTTATATTACTCACTCCGCATTTCCTCACGTCTTTGAAACGGATTATTGGCCTAAGGCCATGATCTGCGGGTTTACTAAGTGTAGAAAGTTTCTTTAAAGTACCAAGCCGGGTTGAGCCCTAGCTTGCGAAACACATCGCTGGTGAGTCAATAAGCTATAAAACACTGTATACGGTTTATGTCACGCTCATGAAGTTTTAATAACTCTCGTTCTACACTTATTTGTTACCAAACACAACAGTGTATCATGCCTATAGTTACTAGTGATGTTATAACTAAGGTTAGCCTTCTAACCTATAACCTTAGTTAGGGGCTGGTAGGCTATGCCCAGGGATAGGCTAGACATAGGAATAGGCTAGTTTGACCCCCCCTCAAAATAGGCACGTTACAGTATTACAGAAGAATCCAAAATCAACAACATATCACTAAACACTGTCAAGTTCAGATATACATATTGCTTTTTCTACACTTTTAAACGAAATAGACGAGGAATTAAACATCAAATGTTTTGAGCTGAGTGCCATCACAGCAACAGTTATGTGAAAATGTGGATTCTATAATAGACAATAGGGCTGTAAAAAAGCTACTGACTCAACATTAGGGAGAAGAGTTGTGTTTTTCCCAACCCCTCAATCGATCAAAATCTCCCACGGCTAAATTTCCAACGATCGCAACAAATCATGTCCAGAGAAAATTCCATTTCAAATCGAATCCAGTCTCGTTGAACGGGCAAACATTTCTGAGAAGCCACCCTTCCTAAGATAATTGGAAAGAGTATTAATGTTATTTTTCTATAATCAATGGCAAAAGTGTTAATTTAAGGGTCTTGAATTTTGGAACGGGTAAAGTTACTCTTACATGCTGCTATAGATTTGCCAAATTTAACCAGCTTTTTGTAAGTTATTTGTCGATAAAATATTTAAATTAATGACATTTGTATAGTAATTTATTAATAGCTAGAATATGTTTTATAAACTAAAGCCAGAGTAAACAAAAACGAACTCTTGTCAATTTAAGTGGTACACTTATATTTTGTTTCTAAATTAAATGGAGGATAAAAAAAACATTTTGACAGCATTTTCAAGGAACCATAATTGTCTCTTCTGCATCCTGATCCCGTCGCAAGGCACGGGTATAGCAGCTAGTCACTATAATAAATTTGAACTACTGTACTGGAATTGGTACCAACCTGAGATATCATCACCAGAGCCTCGACTTGAGATGATTTGCAGGAGTTGAATTGCTGCCTCACTGACTGACATGAATCTTGGTGGTTCATACTCACGCTTTTTTTTCATTAAACTTTCAACAGTCGGTTCTTTAACTCGGATATCTAGAAAATAATTTTCTTTATTATTAGTAACTTTTGTACTTACACTTATGTAGTAGGTACCTTCATAAAAGGATAGACTAGACACCTGCTTTCAAGGTCATAAGTTTGCAACGTGGATTTAAATCGAGCAGACACCAATCTGGGTTCTAAGAAAGAGAGAGAGAGATAGGGAGAAAGATTAGAGATTTTTAAGGAACGATTTTTCAACCACGAGACAGCTCCTATGTCCAATAGTTATATCCTTTGATAATCATCCATTAAATGTGGTTGTAATTGGCATAATTATCACACCTTTTGCTAAGACTTAAGACTAAACAAAAGGCCAATGCTCAGAATCGTAGTAACAGTTCCAAAATTATCGTCAGACATCTTCATTAGGGTGGGTCAAAAAATTCACTATTTTTTTCCCGAGTTGTAATACCTTGGAAAAGTTGTTAAATTGTAAGACCAAAACAGGGTAAAAATATAAAAAATATTGGTTGTTATCTTCCGGTCGCGCATGTGCTCTAAAGTTTGAACAAAAAATGAATAACTCATATTTTATCAGAAATGTTTACAATTTTTAAATTTTTTATTTTTATATTAATTTAGGTGTTCACGTAAGGGCTGCTGATATATTAAATATTTAAGTAAATAAGTACAACTGAGCACCCTGTATATTATATTTTATAAAAAGAAGTAATTTTTATTTTTAATATGTAATAGTTGAAAATTTCATCAACAAGACTAAGAAATTTATATTTAAATAATAGTATTGTATGTTAATATCTTACGGTCGCACATCGGCTGCAAATATTGCCAAAAATCAAGAAAAACTTCAGTTTGTACTAGTCTTATTTAAAATATAATAATCAATATCAAAATGTAATACCAAAAATCTGTTTGTACACATCCAGATAGTAACTTAACAAAAACTACAGACAATGTCAGAACTGATCTTCCGGTCGCGCATAGCAATACAAATTCACTTTAGCGCGGCACTTTTGGGTCAGTGACCCGGGCGACGCCATTTGATTCCGAAGTTAAAGATTCTGAAATTGAACAGGCCTCCTTGAGTTGATCACCCTGTATAATAGTTTTGCCAGCACATCTGAAAATATGCAAACCAACTGCTGTTCTTTATATAATAAAGTTTCAACTGACCACTATAAGATCCCCGTGCGTAGAACGGGCACACAGCTAGTTTAATCACTATGTTAGTATATTATTTTATTTATTTATATCATTGCATAACTATGAAATTTTTACTGGCAAAGTATTGTAACAATGTATTTACTTACTGAAATAAACATGATTTTGATTTGATTTTATGTGATTTAAAAATATTCCCGTGGCGGAGCACGGGCGGCTAACTAGTTGTATGTTAATGTCTTCTGGTCGCGCATCGGCTGCAAATATTGCTAAAAATTAAGGAAAACTTCAGTTTGTACTAGTCTTATTTAAAATATAATAATCAATATCAAAATGCAATACCAAACATCTCGACACTACATGTTAAGATTGTCTGACGAGGTATGTTTAGCCATTACTTGTCATATTAACGCAATCCTGGGGCTATGAAAATGAATTTTAACCAAACATCTGTTTGTAAACATTCAGATAGTAACCTAAAAAAAACAACAGACAAAGTCAGAATTGACCTTCCAGTCGCACATAGCAATACAAATTCACATATCCAGATACTCGCCATCTCGAGAAGGTAAAGTTTGGTACTACTGAACGTCAAACACTGATCTCAATTAAGATTCATCATCACCTACGATAAAATGTTTGTATGTTTCCCACTCATTAGCAATTATCTGCACAACTTGCAAGTGGATTTCCCTATGATTGTTCTGGTGGGATAAATTATTTTGATCGGAACAAACAGTTTCCGTCCCCTACTTTCGGTATTATTTCACGTTCCATCCATACCCTAACTCAAACTCAATTACCTTTTTCCTTTGGATCATTTTGCATGAAAAATAACACATATTTCGAAAATACAAATTTATATTGTAGTTACACGTATTCGTAATCGCCATCTCCAGAAGGTAAAGTTTGGTACTGCTTAACGCCAAACACTTACCTTGAGTAATATTGATCACCTATGATAAAATGTTTGAATGTTTCCCACACATTAGCAATTTTCTACACAACCTGCAAGCGGATTTCACTATGATTGTTCTGGTGGCCGTAGGGAATAAATTATATTGATCGGAATAAACAGTTTTCGTCCCCTACTTTGGGTATTATTTCATGTTCCATACTCAAACCTAAAATCAATTAGCACTTTCCTTCAAATCAGTTCGCAGGAAAACTAATACAGTATACGAAAATAAAAAATTTACACCAAAACATAGGCTACAAAATATTGTTTAAATAACACATTTTGGTATAATAAGTTAACAAATACACTTTTCCTTGATCGAAATCGTGTCTGTTTTTAACAGGAACTTCTAGATTAATAATTACATACCGAAAGTGAGATACATAGGCTATCTATATTATGTGTTCACTATGCTGAATGAATATATCGAAGTAACCTCTCTGAAAAGTCTATAGTAAATTGCAGTTATACAGCTAAATGACTTTCTAAATCATGCACATATTTCTGCATAAATATTGTAAAATGTTTTATCCAGTTGCTGTAAACTACTATTAATTTAACAAAATATGGACACGGCTCAAATGGGCAACGTGCTCTTCTGCACTTGTATTATTTTGTATTGTATTACACAGTCGAAGATTTTTCCAATGATTGAAAACATGTATGACAATAATCTCATGAACTGTATGTAATAATGATGATCTGTAGATTAATATGATAAAATATAGGCAAAAGTGGTGAAAAAGGCAGACAACAACCCGTACAACAGATATTAGATAGTTCAATAAGAAATTGTTGTAAGAGTTCTGTGATAAAAGGAATTTCCACTGATTTCGTAATAGAACGTTATATGTTATAGCAGTTTTAAAATCAGAAAATAACATTGCAAATACATCATTTGGAGAACTCAGAAACTCCCAATAAATGTGTGTTGCTTAAAGTACAATTTAAAAATTAACAGCTGTTTCATTAAAAAGTATTATCCACATGGCCAAAATGTAAACAAATGTGTCGAGGGATCTTTAAAGGCTTCTGGGGCAGAGCCCTAAGGGACTTTACTTCGTGTTTCTTTTGATAACTCATCTACAGACCAAGGCCTTTCTTTGGAGACCTCTACCAAGTTTCTACGTCCAGCCGTTCTCTCAAATTAGTGGAGACAAAGTTTCCAAATAAATATTTAGATTCTCCCATGTTAATCTTATGGGAAAAAACCTAACTTTGATGGAATATCCTGCCCAAACTAATAAAGATTTCAAAAAACTAAAAACACTTTGCAAAACTACAGATCAGGGCCATTCTTTTGACACTTTAATCATCAAAATCGGTCCAAAAATGTGGGAGGAGTTCTGTTTACAAAGCGTATTAGCGTATTATGTATATAGATGCCAATCCCGTACGAAGGACGGGTACTCTGCTAGTAAATATATATATATGAATATTGAACGGATGGTGTTTTTGGCCTCTAGGGACCTCAAAACAAAAAAGTAAATCGGTCCCGGGTCCAGGTCTTAACATGAGTACTACGGTAATAGCTTATTTCCTATATGGGAAATTCGCTAAAAAATGCTGCGATCACGAAAATTGGATGTGATGAATACAAATTACAAAATGTATGTACCTAAAGCTAATACTACTTATCAACAAGTAGGATAACCAAATCACACATGCCTTAAAGTTTTTAAGGTAAAAATCTCTTCCAGAAAATTAGGTAGAAAGTAAAATTCCTATTCCAAAGCACAACTAGAATCCTGTCCATCCCTAGTAGAAAAAAAATGCATAGCATGTCAAACAAAGACTTGCCTAGCAAACAGAGAGTGTGCAAACCGCGACTTTTGTTGCTACAGATTTTACTGTAGAAGCTGTCGGGCTGCCAAGAATCAGTCCAGTAAGGTATTGAGACGGTTTCCCCAAAATTGTACAACTGCAAACAAAACATTGAATTAATATCCTGCAATAGTCACACACCATGGTGCGTAGTTAAGGTAAAGATGGATGAAGTATGAGTGTAGGTTTATTATTCTAGACCACAAATTCAACATTGGCAAGGGACAGGGACGTAGCTAGAGTAAATTGCGCCCTTGGCAAATAGTACTGGACCAAGGAGGGTCTGGGGGGTCAACCCCTCATCCAAAGAGGGGTCTTGGTTTTTTGCAATTTTAGGTGCCAAATTGTAAGTTTTGCGTGTTTTAGCACGTTTTTTTACAAATATCTCATAATAATTTGAAATGTTAAGATTTATGTTTAAGCAAGTTTTTTTAATATCTCTTAGATTTTTTTATGTAGCATAGCTGCAGAATATTCGGCCACAACGATTATTTAAGAAAGAGTCTTCAGTAGTGCCGCGATATAATTTTGTTAGGGAAATGCCTTTTTATTTATTTTTTTTTACTCTAATTTTCTGTACACAAATGATAAACAACACACTTTGCTAAGTTTATAATTTTTGTGCAGAGAATTTATGTTTGTTTTCAAAAAAAAATTAAAAGGCATTTCCCTAGAGAACAGTCATCTATATCTATATACTTATTTAATACCCAAGCAGGTTTTTTGTGACGATTACTCCTCCAAAACTACTGAACCGATTGACTTGTTTTTGGTGTCATTGGAAAGAGTGTAGGCCTAACGTGAAGTTGTGCAAGAAACTTTCTTTTTAGGGAAATAATTAGAGAGTGAGGCCTAATTTTCGTCGGTGTTAATTTAGCCTTTTAAAGTTTCGTATTTCTCCATAAGATTAACATGGGAAACAAAAATTGTTATGAAATTCCAGCTGTTTTCAGAAATTAAAAGTGAGAAGAAGAACATATGTTAATTGTAAACAGTCAATAAGTTTGCTAATTTAACAGTTTTCTACAAACATTTACTGACTTGGTTGAAATGAAATATATACTATTTGAATTAGGGTTGGCGTAAATATTACAATTGAAAAAAGCGAGAGCCTGGATAAATTGATATATTACTAGGTGGCGTTCGCTGAGGCATCCACAAAATTGAGCGGAGTCATCAAGGGTTTATATTATATTGTTTTGGTCATACTGCAGTAATACCAGTCGTTTTTAATGCATGCGTTGCTGGTCTAAAGTAGCATTTTTACTCTTTAGGAAGTAAAAATAGTTTTTATCCTCTATGGAGTAAAAATCAGCTTTTGTCAACTCAGTTGTAAATTACTATTATAAACTATTGCATGTATCGAAATATGTATCGATTCGTGCTTCGTAATTATTTTAACCTACAGTCTACAGTCTCTTCCCATAGTGTTTAAGCATTGCAGATACATTATTCCATTCCCACACTCAACACGCTCACCTTTACTACTTCCTTCACCACCCCCTACGTCGTGGACCTATTTTCCTCTCTCCCCATAACATTTTAGGATTGCAGGATGCATTAATGTAATTGCCAAAGACGGTTCACACACTCTGCACTGCAAGCCTTACTACTTCCTTCACCCTTTCCTACATCATAGACTTGTTTCCTTCCCTTCTCATAGCCTTTTTGGATTAAAGATACATCAATCTAACTGCCATAGACGGTTTTCACACTATGCTCATACTTTACTACTTTATAAGCCATTTCCTACATCGTCAACCTGTTTTCATCACTTTCCATAGCAATTTAGTATTTTAGATACCTTAATATAATTGCCACAAACATTCCCCACACTCCGCACTGCTAGCCTTTACTACTTCTTTCACCATTTTCTATGTCGTGGGGATGCTTCCATCCCTTCTCATAGCATTTCAGCATTGAAGATACATTAATCTAACCGCTAAAAACGGTTTGCAGTTCCCACACTCCACACTGCTCACCTTACTACTTCCTTCACCTCTTCTTACGTCGCGGACATGTTTCCCTCTCTTCCCATAGATTTTTAAGATTGTAGATACCTTAATCTAATCGTCATAAACAGATCCCACACTCCGGACAGCTCACCTTGACTACTTCCTTTTCCTTCACCACTTCATACGTCTCGGACCTTTTCTCTCCCTTCCCATAGCATTTCAGGATTGCAGATACCTTGATCTAATCGTCATAAACAGTTCCCACACTCCGGACAGCTTGCCTTGACTACTTCCTTCATCATTCCTACGTCGTGGACCTGTTTTCCTCCCTTCCCACAGCATTATATGATAGCAGATACCTTTATCTAATTGTCATAAACAGTTCCCACACTCCGGACAGCTCGCCTTGACTACTCCCTTTATCACTTCCTACGTCGCGGACCCGTTTTCCTCCCTTCCCATAGCATTTTATGATTGCAAATACCTTCATCTAATCGTCATAAACAGTTCCCACACTCCGGACTGCTCGTATTTACTACTTCCTTTACCACTTCCTACATCACGGACCTGTTTTCCTCCCTTTCCATAGCATCATAGGATTGCAAATACCTTAATATAATGGTCATAAACAGTTCCCACACTCCGGACAGCTCGACTTGACTACTTCCTTCATCACTTCCTACGTCGCGGACCCGTTATCCTCCCTTCCCATAGCATTTTATGATTGCACATACCTTAATCTAATCGTCATAAACAGTTCCCACACTCCGGACTGCTCGTATTTACTACTTCCTTTACCACTTCCTACGTCACGGACCTGTTTTCCTCCCTTCCCATAGCATCATAGGATTGCAAATACCTTAATATAATGGTCATAAGCAGATCCCACACTCCGGACAGCTCGCCTTGACTACTTCCTTCATCACTTCCTACGTCGCGGGCCCGTTTTCCTCCCTTCCCTTATAGTTTTTGGAATGCAGATACCTAAATCTTATCGTCATAAACAGTTTCCACACTCCAGACTGCTCACCTTTAGTACTTCCTCTAGCACTTCCTACGTCACGGACCTCAAGCTAGTGTCGTCATTTGATTATATTTATGATTCATACCGTTTCTATTCTAATAATATGTGGAATAATGCTATCAGCGATTTCTTTATCTACTGCATTCAAAAGTTAACAGCTGATCATATGCCTTTGTTTATGTGTCAAATACTGCTTCCATAAGGATTACATTGAAACTTTGAGACCCAGTGGGGCGGATTCCTGAGAGTTATTTTTAACGCCATATAGATGTTGGCACTCACCGATATGGTCTTTTTCACCATCCAAAATTTGAAAACGATTGATTCAGCCGTCTAGGAGGAGTTTGCGTATTACGAAATGCATAAAAGTCGACGTATAAGAGCTTCGCTCGCTTCGCTCGCTCCGCTCAAAAAAGAAAACTGAACTAACACTGTGCTGCATTTCTTAGTAATCATTGAAAGACCCCTTTTGCAAACTATGGAAACATAGGAAAGTCATAGACCACCAAGGAGAAGAAATATAAATAATGTTTTTTTTTAGAATTTATAATTGTTATTATTATGGACAACCTAATGCGGCAATGAGATAGGCTATTTGTAAGAAAACACTAAAAAACAAGATCAGCTTTTGAAAAATGATAAGATAATGATAAGACAAGAAATGTTATTAGTCCAGTCTTAAAATACCTTAAATGGCTTAAAATACCTACTTTGTATGGTCGCCATTTCAAAGAAAAGTATAAAGTATAATAGTACTGTCACTACACTTTTTGGCGACAAGTAAAAACCAAAATAATGACATTATGTTCAAAAATTTTTTAAATTATTATTCAATCTGTTTCTATCATTCAACCTACACTACTTTCATTACATTTGACTGGACCACAATGGATGCTGACCAGATCAAGGAATTCTTATAAGTTTTTCAACAGCAACAACAAGAACAGTTTCAACAATTATTTTCACATTTCACAAAGCACAAGAAGTGGAGGTATCAGTAAGTCTTACAAATATTGCTCCGTTTGTAAATTTCAAACCTAGACGTGAAAAGTTTTCTTATTATCTAGAAGGCTTTGAAAATTACTATACTCTGAAAGGTGGTAATAGTTGTTCAGTGCGTCGTTGGTGGTGTCGGACAACAATAGTGTACTCGTGCATGTAGGTTGACGCAAAAGTAACATCTTAAGGCCGACGGTAGGATCGAACAACAAAGCCAGCAATAATAGGCAAGCGAACCCTGGACATACTCGAGATAAGAAGTTGGTAGTACTACTAGGGTACTTACGTGTCTCAATATTTATTTGTGTTAGAGTTATGTTTTTTGTTTATCGCTCGCTTGCGAGTCGCATATACGAAGTAGGCTGACCACAGGTCCAATGCACAGTCTCGGGAGACCGTTGTGGGCGAACCTTCCGCTCACTGTCGACTGATGTCTTGCCCACTGTCCGGCTAGTCTCTGCTATATTCCCCCCACCTCTACTTCAGGGCTCCGAGACAGCCGCGGCTGATTCCCGAACTAGAACTAACGACAATGCCAACACCGATCATTGTTTCTGTCATACCAATGTCACGTAACCGCCGCACTCAAACGGTTCGTGGATTGGAAAAATGACCCCTATCAAAATTTGACCATTACAAGGTTAATACTTTGGAAATGCAAAATGAATTAGTTTGAACAAAAGACCATGCCATAGGCTACCTTGTCGAATGCCTGGGATATGTCAAGAAATGCTACTACTGTGTGCTGTTCCTCTCAAACCCTTTTGACTATTGTTTCATATATACATAAGATTTGATTCAAAGACAAATGTTTTGGCCGAAATTCAAATTGATGAGCAGGAATTATAACAATAACAATTATAATTATAACAATAAGCCAAGTTTGTTTTCTGTTCTGAAGGAGACTGTAATATTGTTTTTTGTAATAAGATTTTTAAATTGGTTAACTTAAGATATACCTATAAGGCAGTAACATCCGACCACGAAAATGTGTTAAATGACCAACTAACGTTTTCGTCCAATTTTATATATGACACTGCCATAAGGATACAGCAGAGTGGAAGTGTGTTTTCAGAGTGGAAGTGTGTTAGACAGGACTAGGATGTAACCTGAGGTGATAAGATAACGGAAGTACACCACTGCAATGACCACCCGCAGTCTGGACTTAAACTCCGCCGGGTTAGCGTCGTCTGTTGTCGTAACTGATCAGTTAATGTTTCGTGTCCGTAACGTGTTTTGTGTCGTGTGTAAATGTTTAATTATTTTTACGTGTTAAATATGACGCTCTTCATGTGAAGAAAGAAGAAGTCCTTGTACCGCCTGATGATGACTCGACATAGGAGTCGAAACTAGTTGCAACTGCAATTAAATGGATTGCTTGATGGCAGATATTTAAACCTTTTTAATATTATTTGGCAATCCGGAGGCTACTATCCACAATGAACTTTTAAAGTTAAACAGCTGGACGTTGGCTGTTGAGTGTTGAGGCCTAGACCTATTCGCGGCACTAACTGGCATAATGCATAACTTCTCTGAAGTCTAAGACCTCAGATGACGTCAGTGCAGAAGCCACTTTGGTTGATTGTTTGTTCAGCTCCTTCTGTGGACATGTTCCGGGAGGAGAGGGAGGACTGATATCTCTTTTTCTCCTTCTCAGCCTGAATAAGCATCTTCTGCCGGCCTTCGATGTCATGAGTCTTAGCCTTTTTCTGTTTTTCTTGTAACTCGCTGACCAATCAGCGGATGACTTGGTTTTCTTCTCGAATCATGAAGCTGGTGAAGACTGAAGAGAGAAGGGGCTGTCATTCTCGACCCGGCTGCTTGTTTTGAAGTTACTTGTTTGAAGTCTACATCGCTTAGATAAAATTCACGTTCCTACACTATGAAAGCTTGAGTCTGAGTTCAAAGCGTTACATTCACAGTTTTGTGCTTCGTTTATTTTGTATTTTGTCGTTTGGTCAGTGGTGTTAACAACATTTTAGTTGTGTTTCTTAACATTTCACTGCCATTTATGTGATGCCAGTCACATAAATGGTGTCCACAACAGTTGGACCAGTGATTGGATAGTCTGATAGTACTTAGACTGATTTATTCTTGGTTTCATACACTCATCTCGATTCATACTTGGCTTAAAATACCTAATTTGTCTAGATACTAGGCTTAATTATTGCCTATCTTTAAAAACGAATAAACTTTGTCTGCTTCTTACCTGCAGTCCTGTGCAACCAATTGCATTTATAATAGATGCATTGTGTATAACTTGACATGGAATCCCAGATTGTTTAGCTCTAAGAAAGAGGTCAGTATGGGTCGTAGCACTAAAGGGATCCCCAACCACAAGAAACACAATATCCTTAGTGCTGGCATCCTTGAGTATCTCTTCTGATCCTTGCTCTACAAGTTCCCTATCTGCAGGAAGCAGTTCACGGCCATAGAACTCCTCCTAAATAAACACACAGAATATGGATATAACAAGAAAAAAAGTAAGATAATACCATTGAGTATACTAGAGTAACCACTCAATGGAGGTTATTGTTTCCAGAGCAGCGCTGTTGCAGAGTAGCGTCAGCGGCTACTCCACTATCGGGCTTGTCAGTAAGGCAGTTTGGTTGTTTTGTTTTTTATTATTGCTTTCATTTTATGTTGTAAAATGTCATTTTTGTTGATGAAATTTGCTTGTTTGTTCGTAGTTTCGTTGTTTTATAATACATTTTGAATACTAAATGATTAAAAGGTCCTCAGAGGCTCACTGCACTTCCGAAAGACTACTGTGACCCAAGCGTCAGCGGTACGAACTACGTTGCCAAAATCGTTAACAACTATTAGCATTATCTGACCCCTTTTATACGTGTATACTCAATGATAACACCATCATCATGTTAAGGGATTATTGAGGGCATTTCCAATCACGATTAGTGACAAATTAAGGTTTTCACTCAAATAACACAATAGGCATAACATAAATAACAAACTCTTAATCAACAATAAAAGAACTTCGAACAAAGGGGTCAGATATCTGAATCAAACACAGATGGCTGTCAAGCCATTACTAAAATCCGAACCAAACAAAAAATACGAACAAGAGCAAGAGGGTTTGAATAAGTTACAGTAAAGACACATATCTCTAGTTCATAGTAAATAAGTGTTACAATACAATTGACCAGTTACAGACTAATCAGCTCTACTTAGGCATGTGAGGAAGGTAGGTCAGGCTTTATGAGGATTCATCGCTGTAATAAGTTTAAGTGTATATAAGTTATTGAAAATATACGGAATTTACATAAACTAAATTCTGCCTGTTTTCAAATGCTTTGTTTGAGAAACATTTTAGATATGAAAATGATCTAAATCTATTATAAAAAGTTAGTGATTGTGAAGTAGGTACAGTCCACTCTTGCTAATTCAAACACTTGATAAATCGAAACTTTTGATAATTCGAAATGAAGGCTCAGTCCCAAGAGAATCTCTCAATATTTCAAATTTTTACCATGCATTTTGATACACTCGGTATTTCAAAGTCCAAAAAGAGGGCAGGTCAATTTTGAACACGCAGTAATTCGAAGTTTCGTCGGAAAAACACTCTATAATTCGAAGTAACTCAGTAATTCGAAGTTTCGTCGGAAAACACTCTATAATTCGAAGTCAAGCTGTAATTCAAAGTTTCGTCAAAAAAACACTCTATAAATCGAAGTCACGCAGTAATTCGAAGTTTAGTCGGCAAAACACTCTATAATTCAAAGTGATCTCTTCCTGTCATAACAGGAAACTACACAGTACAGTACATCCTGTTCTCACGGTAGTTTTGGACGTTTTGATGTTTGTTTAGTTAGAGCAGTAGTCTGGTTGACTGTGTTTGCTTTTAAACCTGCTGTACTTTTGTAGTTTTTTAAGTGTAGTCTTGTGCGTGTGCGGCGTTGTGCATCATGGAACCTAGGAATAAGTACAAATCTCTTTCGATCGAGGAAAAAAAAGAAGTTATCGCGGCAGTAGAAAGTGGTGAAGTGAAGTCCGAAGTTGCCAAAAAGTTTAAAATCCCTCCAAGTACATTGTCTACCATTTTAAAAAATAAGGACAAACTTTGTGGAGTTAATGCGGTTGCGGGGAGGAAAAGAACGACAAGAGGTGAATATCCTAGGCTAGAAGAGTGTTTAGTGACTTGGTTGAGAGAGTGCAGAAATCAAAATGTACCTGTAGGAGGTTTGATTTTGAAAGAAAAGGCCAAAGCGTATGCAAAGGAACTTAACATTCCCAGCTTTGCGGCCAGTGAAGGGTGGTTGACAAATTTAAAAAAAAGGAATGGAATCTTTTTTAAAAAAGTTTGTGGTGAAAGCGCAAGCGTAAATGACAATGTGTGTGCTGATTGGCGAGCTGAGTTGTCTAAACTAACTGAGGGTTATGAGCCTCATGACATTTTTAATACTGATGAAACAGGCCTTTTTTTCAAATGCTTGCCTGACAAAACATTCACATTCAAAGACGAAAAATTTCATGGTGGGAAACATAGCAAAGACAGATTGACGCTTTTGTTAACAGTAAATATGGATGGCTCTGAAAAGTTAAAACCTCTACTCATCGGAAAAGCTGCAAAGCCTAGGTGTTTTAAAGGTATCCAGTCGTTCCCTGTAACCTATCGTTCGAACAAAAAGGCTTGGATGACGACTGAATTGTTTAATGAGTGGTTATCATCATTGAACAATGATATGAAACGCCAAAACCGAAAGATAATCTTGTTTCTTGACAACTGTTCAGTCCATAATAATCCTCCTAAATTGTCCAACGTGAAGCTCCAATTTTTTCCACCCAACACAACATCAAAGCTGCAGCCACTGGACCAAGGCATTATACAAAACTTCAAGACATTTTACCGCCATGAAGTAGTAAAGATTGTTTTAGATGGCATTGAAAACGACGTAAACCCTAACATCTCTATCTTAACTGCTATGTTGATGGTTGAAAAGGCTTGGAAAAGTGTAGTGCCATCTACAGTATCCAACTGCTTTCGGAAATCTGGATTTTCTATCAACACACAAGTGAATGATGAACTTCAACCTGTGCCACCTACACCTTGGGAAAATCATCCAGTGATAGGGGAGGTTCCATTTGAGGAATTCGTCCTAGTCGATGATGAAGTTGCTGTGTTTGGAGCCCTAACTGATTCTGACATCTTGAATTTACAAGAACCTGAAAATCCAACTGACGATGACGACGATCAGGAGTGCGAACCAGTTACGTTGAAGGAAGCCTGTACGGCTCTAGAGAAACTCCGCCATTTTTCGCTCCAGGTACGTACAGTATGTAAGTGTTATACAGTAGGCCTACTGTACTGTACATTGTACTGTTTAACTAGAATGGCATTTTACAATAGATTTCTTTCTTTACAGAATCAAGTTGGTCCAGAAGTCTTCGAGTCACTATTCGTCCTTGGGAATGTTATTGACGAAGCAAAAATTAATAGTAAAAAACAAAAAAAAATTACAGATTTCTTTGAAACTACAAATATTGTAACTGAAAAATAAGCCGTAAATAAATATTGTAACGTGCTACTGTACTGTATAACTTTGTGTAATAAACAAAATGAACTCTCTGTAATTCGAATGGTCTATTTTTCTCCCGATAAATCGAACTCTTGATAATTCAAAACTCTTATTCTTATTTATTTACTAGCTGTAACCCGCGGGCTTTGCCCCGTTTAACTTCTTAATTTTCAAGATGATCTCGTTCGCATGGCTCAATCACGTCCTGGTTGAAGTTCGTTCGCTACGCTCACTCACCTTTAGGTTGGAGCTCGTTCGCTACGCTCACTCACCTTTAGGTTTAGGGCTCGTTCGCTGCGCTCACTTGCCTTAAGGTTAGCTCGTTCGCTACGCTCACTCACCTTTTGGTTGCAAATTAGCTGTTGTCATAAATGTAAAAGAAATAATAGTGCTGCACCCTGTTGGTAATCCTTGTAACTTTAATGCTATTGAACATCATAGAACAGAACCAACTTGTTTAATTGAAACAGCTGTTAAGATTCATTAATTCCATTTCTCATAAGGTTAATATGGGAAACTCCAGAGCCACTGGGGCGGAGCCGATTGGACGGATCACGAAATTGATGGTGTATAAACCTATTCCATGAAATTCTACACGTATGTACCAAGTTTCGTGGCCATCGGTCCAGCGGTGTCTGAGTTTATCACTGCCAAATATACCAACATCCTCTTTTATACTTATAGATGAACGGCTAGACACGGTGTAAGCCCTTCGGGCGTAGGCAAACTCGGCCTAGTTCTGATGAAGTGCTAAAAGTGTTCCCAGGCTAGTGTCCAAAGAGTAGGCTATAGGAGGTTTTTAGTGGGTAGTCTCTGGGGTAGTCTTTTTAGTGGGACCCGTTGGAGTCCCACTCTACAGGCTAGCCACCTGTGTGCATAAATGCATTTTCCCACCTCTCCCTAAAAAAAAAAAAATCAGGTGATTTTCAAATTGATGAATCAGAGTTAAGAGCTAGGTAATAAAGTTGTCACTTCCAAATGCTTGACTATGGTTGAAAACATTCAGCTGAAGGCTTAATCCACAGTTCATTCCTCTTAAAAAACGTCATATCCGTCCTGCCTTGTTTATTCAGACGTTTAACTTAGGCTATTGAACGGCGATACTTAGGCTGTCTTCAGTAATATTCATCTGTGGTAAAAAATAATGTTACCTAGGTACCTATATTTCGATTCTGGAGGTAAAATTATATAAAGAAAGATAAGTTACGCCTATCAACATTTAAAATTAGTTTGGAGGTACCTACAGTAAATTACCGCATAAACCTACACTCATCTCCATTCATATTTAGCTTAAAATATGTACTGTTAATAATGTTCGATGATATGGCGACCATACATAGTAGGTATTTTAAGCAAAGTATGAATGGAGATGAGTGGCGCGATCTTGTAGTCTTGTTAGTGACTAAGCCGACATTCCTTAGACACAGCTGTTAATTAATATAGCCCATACAGCTAATGGCAACTAATGGACCTACAGTTTATAGTGGAATCCGAACTACATTTATTCCTTGGTATATACGAATTGGTCTAATTATCAGGATAGTAGGCCTACTGCGGATAGTCGTAGTACTCACTCGTGCGGACGTTAATCCACACCAGGGAGTATCACATCTACAGTGCATGCCTAGGCCTATAAATATCCACAATTCGTGACCTCCTAGTAGCTGGATTACAGGACGACACTTGTGTGAACCTGGCAATAACTCCAGCCATAAGTAGTGCGCGCACCCGAAAAAATCTATTGCTGGCCGTTTTGTGGCAAAATACGGCCGCGTAACATATTACCGATGATGTTACCAGATAAAGGACACTTTAACGGACACGACAGTATCAATATCATGTACCTGGGGGATAAGAAAGGGGGCGTAAAGTCAGCAATAAGTAGAGCGCGCGCCCAAAAAAATCTATTGCTAGCTGTTTTGCGGCAAAATACGTCCGCAATCCATATTACCAATAATGCCAACAGATAGAGGACACTTTAACGAACACGACAGTATCAACATTATATACCTAGGGAGTAGAATAAGGGGGGTTAAATCAGCAATAAGTTGTGCGCGCGCCCGCTAAAATCTATTGCCGGCCGTTTTGCGGCAAAATACGTCCGCGATCCATATTACCGATAATGCCAACAGATAGAGGACACTTTAACGAACACGACAGTATCAACATTATGTACCTGGGGAGTAGAATATTTTGGCATTATTGGTAATATGGATCGCGGACGTATTTTGCCGCAAAACTGCCAGGCAATAGATTTCAGCGGGCGCGCGCACATCTTATTGCTGGTTTTACCCCCCTTATTCTACTCCCCAGGTACATAATGTTGATACTGTCGTGTCCGTTAAAGTGTCCTCTATCTGTTGGCATTATTGGTAATATGGATTGGGGACGTATTTTGCCGCAAAACTGCCAGCAATAGATTTTTTCGGGCGCGTGCACATCTTATTGCTGGTTTTACCCCCCTTATTCCACTCCCCAGGTACATAATGTTGATACTGTCGTGTCCGTTAAAGTGTCCTCTATCTGTTGGCATTATTGGTAATATGGATTGCGGACGTATTTTGCCGCAAAACGGCCAGCAATAGATTTTTTCGGGCGCGCGCACTACTTATGGCTGGTTTTACCCCCCTTATTCTACTCCCCAGGTACATAATGTTGATACTGTCGTGTCCGTTAAAGTGTCCTCTATCTGTTGGCATTATTGGTAGGTTCGCGGACGTATTTTGCCGCAAAACGGCCAGCAATAAGATTTTTTCGGGCGTGCGCACATCTTATTGCTGGTTTTACCCCCCTTATTCCACTCCCCAGGTACATAATGTTGATACTGTCTTGTCCGTTAAAGTGTCCTCTATCTGTTGGCATTTTTGGTAATATGGCTCGCGGACGTATTTTGCCGCAAAACGGCCAGCAATAGATTTTTTTCGGGTTCACGTCAATCAGGACGACGCCATCCGTCCCAGTTTAATACCTAGCTCGTATGGTCACCATTTTAAAGTAAAGTATTAAAACAAAGTTATCTTACCAAATTTCCTCTCCCTGCAGCTAAAATTGAGGTATATACTTCCAAATATACCCTTTCTGCATTTTTGACAATAGACAACCCTTTCACAGTAATATCCTGAGGGTCTCCCAGACCTAAGCCAATAATGTAAAACATAACAAATAGGCTATAATTATTATAACTATGCCTATTTTATATTCTTGATTAATGATTTACTAAATTGTGAATAGGCCTAACCTTAATCAATCAGAGTCAATCACAACTAAAAATGAATAGGCCTATTTAAACAAGCTGGACTCTGGACAATACAACATTTTCACTCATGATTAAGTTATTATGTTAAGTTACTTTCAATTTGAAGGTATACCTATTCAAAATAAAAAAATCGCACTGTGTAAAGGTTAATGTAGTGTAACAACCAATATAAATAATTATCAATGATAGGCCCAGGCCTATATAGGTTAGAATCTGAGGTGTAGGAAGCCGGTGGGGCACACGGAAGATTTCTCAGGTGCCGTTTGACGTCACTAACTGCTGCGTCTGAAGAAACAGACAATTTTATAATTTTCTATTATTAAATTAAACTGTCATAACCTAACCAAACTAACCAAACGTGCTGATAATGGAAAAATCGAATAAAGGTTTACTAATTAAAAAAAAATAGTTTTGTTAATAAAATAAAATTATAAATGCCTAAAATTCAATTTTATAATTTTTCAATTATAAAATAACTGTCATAACCTAACCAAACCAACCAAACTTGCTGATGTGAAAAAAATTGCTGATAAAAAGTTAGTGCCGCCGGCGGGATTTGAACCCGGTACTTCCGGTTTATCAGCCCGCAACGCTATCCATTACACCACCCACCGAGGCCGATGGCTCAATACCGTATCGTTGCGGTATTGGTGTTCCCTCAAAGTGATGTCAGCAGTTAGTGACGTCAAACGGCACCTGAGAAATCTTGGGTCTGACTTAGGGGAGGTACGAATGAGGCATTAGTTCAAAATTCCTCCGTGAACAGCGCTGTAGTAGAGAGCACTTTGGCAATGAAGGCATATTAATCGAAGAAGAATCGAAGAAAAATAGTTCTGTTCATAAAAAAAATATAAATGCCTCAAATTAAATTTTATATTTTTTATTATAAAATTAAACTAGCATAACCTAACCGAACTAACCAAACTTGCTGATAATGAAATAATATAATAAAAGTTTATTAATAAAAAAATAATTCTGTTTATTAAATAAAACTAGAAATTACTCAATTAAAGTTTTATAATGACTTAATAGTAAAATTAAAACGTCATAACCGTACCAAACCAACCAAACTTGCTGATAATGAAAAATCTTGGACAAAAAGTTAATGTCACCAGCGGGATTCGAACCCGGCACCTTCCACATATCAGCCCGGGACGCTGACCACTAGACCACCGAGGCCGATGGCTACAGACTGCATTGTTACGGTAATGGCGTTCCTTCAGCTAATAAGAAGTCCACAGCTGTCATCGTAGGCTCTTTTGTACCTCCCCTGAGGAGACGTAGGAATTGGCTAACTCAGGAACTCGCTAACTCGGTCGTATGGCGGAACTGGCTAACTCTGGAACTGGCTAACCGTCTCAGTCAGGAATTGGCTAACTCCGGAACCCGCTAACTCGATTTTGTCTCGTGGCGGAATTCGCTAACTCTGGAAGTCAGCTAACCCAGCCGCGCCCACTGCTCGGAGCGTTGCCAACCTTGTACGACAAAATAATCGTACACTGCCGTATTTCAAAATGTCAGTGTCTATAAAGATACAGTAAATGTTATTGTTTTTTGTTATCAATTCCACTTTTAACAGATAACTAGCCCAAAGTAATTAAAAGACAATTAAAAAAGTGTTTTTTATTAAACTGTACAATGGCCAGTTAAATGTTTATGATTTCGATCTTAAATATAAATGCCATCAGTATAAAAGAAAATAATAGAATATGAAAAATATTCAAAATTTAGTTTAATTGGTAATAAATAATTAAACCTCTACGAAATTGAGCTAAAATACACGCAAGTTCTTAAACACGGAAAACAGATTTAATTGTAATGTCGTAATAAACCAAAACCATTAATTAATACGGTCATGAACCATCGTAACTTTCATAACTAATTCATAGATTTTAAATTAAATGTTCGTCGTTGAACCGTCCAACTTATGATGACATAAACTAAGTTTTTATCTAGGCCTAATAGTTTGAACCAAAGCGTTGTAGGCCTACTAGTAAATAGTTGCCTAATTCTAAAATGTGTTGAATTTTTTAGCAATAATGTTACATGTTTTAAAACAGTTTTTAGATTGTACACCTAAGCACCACTAGTAAAAAATAGGAGAAGATATAATATTCATATAATAAAACGTGACAGGGTTATTTTTTATTCACGATTTTTAATAAACTAATTGACGGATTTTCCTGATTTTAGTGTTGGGTTTCCTTTACAGTATATTGCTTTCACAATCGATATAAACTATACCAAGCCATTGCTCGGTTCACCGTTCCCCAGTACTGAGCTACACAATAGACAATAGCTTTGTTTTTTGATAAGATAGAACCAGCCTGGAAAAAAACTCCAGACTTTTAAAAAGTAAGCCTACTGAAAGGCGTAAAATTAATATTAATTCAACAAAATTAAGAGGATGACCCGGGTTCTAAATTAATAGCATAGATAAAACATACTGGTTAGTCTATGCTAATAGCCTACGATAAAAGAAATTTACAAGTTGTATTTATGCATAAACTAACTTTTAATGCAATCCATGAATACATTAGGCCTACCACTTTATAATGTATTGATAAATATTTATTTAAATTCAATAGCTCTATTTAAAAATACATAACCACTACAATGTAATTCTGTAATGACGTTTAACGTGTACATTTTATTATGATTTAAGGTTACTACAAGCCCAGTATATAAAATACGAACTCAATAATTTTATTTGCAGAAGTTCACAAAATAGTATTTATTCGAATAAAAGAAACAAATGGCGGACTACGAAAATAGATATTTCATAACATGTAATAGATCCAAATTAAATGTGCCTTTTATCTTTTTCATACCAATAAGCTACTATTTAAGTAAGAAACCCACATATAAAACATACTCCCTTAAATTAGTACATTTCTCATCCTTATGGATCATCTGAAGACAGTTGTATTGTTAGTTCTGTCCGGTGCGCACAATTTGTTTTTCAGGATTAATATTGCCAACAGTGTCGTTTAGAGGCTTCTGATTGACTATAATGAAGGTTTACTAATTGAAAAATTTGTTTTGTTCATAAAATAAAATTATAAATGCCTCAAATTCAATTTTATATTTTTTTTATTGTGAAATTAAATTGTCATAACCTAATCAAACCAACCAAACGTGCTGACAATGAAAAAATCGAATGAAGGTTTATTAATCGAAAAAATAGTTGTGTTCGTAAAATAAAATTATAAATGCCTCAAATCCTATTTTTTAATTTTTTAATTATAAAATTAAACTATCATAACCTAACCAAACTAACCAGACTTGCTGATAATGAAAAATCGAATGAAGGTTTTATTCGAAAATATGTTTCTGTTCATAAAATAAAACTATAAATGGATCAAATTCAATTTTATAATGTTTTAATTATAAAATTAAACCATCATAACCTAACCAAACCAACCAAACGTGTTGATGATGAAAAAGTCCAATACAAAAAATAGTGCTATGGGTGGGGATTCGAACCCAGGTCCTTCGGATTATCAGCCCAGCACTCTATCCACTACACCACCTAGGCCGTTAACGTCGATCCGTATCGTTGCGGTAATGATGTTCCCTCAGCCAATCAGAAGCCTCAAAATAATACTGTAGGCAACACTAAACCTGAAATAAAAATTCAGCGTCCGGTGCACTGTCTTTAGAGGTCGTGTTTTGTTTACAATTGTTTCTTGTTTTCAGTAATTTAAAACCTCGTTTAACCAAATAAAACGTTCTAATCACAACTAATAACACGTCCCCTAGTTATATAACCAAACAGTAAGGAACAAATCATGAAGTTAACTATAAAATAATAGAAACACAATTTTGTCGACACTAGCGATCAGTGTCACCGGACATGAACTAGACACGAAAAACGAGCTTCAAAGTTTACAATGGGATGTAAAGTTTACTTGTGTTGGTTAGTCTATGGTAAGACTATAATGCATTTTCCACCCTAATAATCATAAGAACTTCTCTGTGGTTAAACATACTTCTAAATATATTTATTTTATCGACTACGTTGCTCTTACTCCTAATTAATCGTAGGATACGACATTATGGTGCCGATACGATATAGGTACTACACTTTCGGCAACACTGGCCAAAAATATTCGTGCTTGGCTCCCATTGGACGGCCCGCGAGGCTTCTGATTGGGAGTTAGCGAGTTCCGCCGAGGGACCGAGTTAGCGACTTCCGTACGAGGACGGAATTCGCTAACCCGGCTCTAGAGCGGGTTAGCGGGTTCCGGAGTTAGCCAATTCCGAAACCGAACAAGTTAGCGAGTTCCTCTCATCGACCAAATTTGAAGATAGGGCATTTAACATGGGGTTAGCGAGTTCCAGAGTTAGCCAATTCCGCGGACCCCCCCTGAGTAAATACCAGAAATCTTCCGTGTGCCGTTGCGTAGGACAAGCATCTAATCTAGGCAGCCAGTGCAACTCCTAGAATCGTGGATCAGATCGGAAAACCCCCCCACCACCGCTCCGTGACGATGGCGTGACGTCAACCATTACCGCAACGATACAGAGTTGAGTCATGAGCCTTGGTGGTGTAGTGGATTGCGTGTCGGGCTGATAATCTGGAGGTGCCGGGTTCGAATCCTGCTGGTAACGCTAACATTTTGTCACCAATTTTTTTCATATCAGCAAGTTTGGTTGGTTTGGTTAGGTTATGACAGTTTAACTTTATAATTAAAAAATTATAAAATTGAATTTGAGACATTTATAATTTTGTTTTTAGAACAGAGTTATTTTTTTCGATTAGTAAACCTTCATTCGAGTTTATCATTATCAGCAAGTTTGGTTAGGTTATGACAGTTTAATTATATTTAATTTAAATTTAACCTACAAATTAAACGTTTTGACAGCGACAGTGATAGAGATAACAATTTTCCGCGAACAGTTAGATAGGCTATGCTGATGCGCCGGTATGATTCGGAAGCGTACATGGTGCGGTGGTGCCACAGCACCTCTGATCCACGATCCTCGGAGTTGCACTGGCAGTCTAGACTAGTGGTGGGAATCACCGAATGAAAATAACCGAATCAATCGGTTATTGATGCTGAATAGACTAATTCGGTTATTTTATCCTGGTTCGGTTAAATTAGTCTTACCAAGCGATTCGGTGATTTAGTTATTTAGTTGATTTAGTTTGTCACATCATCAGGAAACTAAAATTTATTCGGCGATTCGTTCGACTAAAAATCACCGATTGACGCTAAAAGAC